CCCAGCCACAGCAGCCTCTACCTGCAGGGCTCTGGTGATCCTTCCACCTCAGCCTTCCAAGTAGCTGGAACTACAGTCAAATGCTACCACACCTGGCTAATTTTTTGATTTATTGTAGAGATGAGGTCTCGCCAAGTTGCCCAGGTGAGTCTCAAACCTGCAGGCTCAGGCAATCCACTCACCTCGGCCTCCCAAAGCGCGGGATTACAGGGTGAGCCACCGAGCCTGGCCACAAACTCTTATTTTACAATGGAAAAACAAATATTGTCCTTTTAGTCTGTGCCTTCAGATCCTTGCTATCAAGTCAGTTTTATCCAACCCCATTGATTTTTCACATTTCAAATACTGCATATGAGCTGGGAGATTCAATTTCCATATGCAATTTAAACAGAATACTGAAGGAAAAATCTTTGAAGTAGTCAAGGTATTAAACACACACCCCACAGTCAATATCTGTACGATACAAGTAGAAAAATTAGTAACAGAAAATAGCTTTAATTTTTAGCTAACAAAAATTTTAAGTCTATCCTGTATCTAATTTTAATATTACCAGAAATCACTTAATTGACCATTAAATTTCTGATTATAAATGATTACTATTTTAAAAACGACATGCAGTTAGCATTATCTAACCTTTTCAAAAACTAAGGGGGGAACGAGAATAAATCTTACCTCAATAAAAGAATCTATGTGCAACATCAGAGCTTGAGTCCTACTGATGATAAACTGATTGACACATGCAACAGCATGAGACCTAGAAACAAAGTTTGAAATTTAGAACACGCCCAGTATAGCTTTTTTCTATCTACAGAAAATTAGCAAAAACATTCCTCCATAAAAATATTATAGTATATTATATCCATATATATACCCACTAAAAGCAATGAGTCAAATCTGTGTACCAACAGAGAAAGAATGTGAAGAATATATTTAGTGAAAAATACAATTTGCAGAGCAATGCTAGTGTTTCTAAGCAGGTGGAAAATGTCTGAAAGGATATGCACAACTTTCTTTTTTTTTTTGAGTAGGAGTCTCACTCTGTCGCCTAGGATGGAGTGCAGTGGCATGCTCATGGCTATCGCAGTCGTGACTGCTGGGCTCTGGCGATCCTTCCGCCTCAGCCTTCCAAGTAGCTGGAACTACAGGTGCGCACCACCACACTCAGCTAATTTTTGATTTACTGTAGAGATGAGGTCTCTCCAAGTTGCCCAGACTGGTCTCAAACCCATGGGGGGCTCCGGCAATCCTCTTACCTCAGCCTCCCAAAGTGCTAGGATGACAGGTGTGAGCCACTGCGCCCAGTCTGATATACAACTTTTCGTAGTGGATACCTCTAAAGAGTAGGAGGCTGGGTGAAGGCACATTATTACATACCTACAGATTCAAAAATGGATGGATATGCATTCCCTTCGCAGCTAAACATGGGGACTAGCGAATGTGTCTGGGCATCCTCAATTCAGTACTCAGTGTTCTTACTGGCACCACCCTTAACAGCATGCCCTTAATCGAATCACCTCTCCTGCCTTCACTTCTTCTCTAGTCCAAGCCATAATCTCTGATCTCTTACCAGGGCTACTGCAAGAGGCTCTTCTGGTTTCTCGACTTCTACTGTGAAAAATACTACAACCCGTTTGACACACATTATAAGAACACACTTCACTCCTGTTCAGATTGCTCCAATAAAAGCTTTTTTTCTGCCAAATAGTATTTCAACTTTCATGGCCCACATCAGACCCTTGCTGTATCTTTGTTTTTTTCCTTCTCTTAAAATGTAAGTCTCCCTTATCTTGCAGGCTATGAACTGAATTTGGCTCCACTGCACAGTCTGCTGACCACTAACCTAGACATTCTTTATAATACGGCTCCTCCCTAACCCCCTAGCTTCGATTCCTACTCTGCTACGGCAGAAGTTGTTTTCCTCTGTCACTCTAAAAGCTTATCCCTAACTCCAGAGCCTTTTTACTTGCTGTTCTCTGTCGTAAACGTTCTTCACCAAGGTCTCGCATGGACTTGCTACCTTACTTTTGTTCAGCGTCTTGACACAAATGTTACATTTACCAAGAACCGTATCTATAAAATACCTCTATGAATCACTATCCCCTATTCTCATTTTTCCACTGAATTTAACACTGCCTGAAGTATTACTTATTGCCTGTTCTGTCTCCACTTCTGATAACCTTGTGATAACCTTTCCTTGTCTTAACCACTGTGCCAAAAACAGATTGGTTTTGGTTCCGCAGTTACAGCAAAAGCATGTAACACTTACTGAGTGTATATAAGCCAATATTAAGTAAAAAAGAACATACTATGGCGCTCTCCATCACTTAAATGGGTAGCACAGGGTAGGCTGCATATGCTTTAAAGTCTGTTTTTCTCATCTATAAAATAATACTACAATTCGTCTATTTGTTGTGGGGATTAAACTAAATGAGCCAATATATGTTGAGTGCTTGGCACTGTAAACAAATGTGAAAAGAAATATAAGAAAGGGAGTTTTAAAAGACTCTTTATTTTTAGCCTGTAATCTCAGCACTTTGGGAGGCCAGTTCAAGACTAGCCTGGGCAACATAGAAGACCTTGTCTCTCCAAGAAAATTTAAAAATTAGCCAGCCATGGTGGCACACACCTGTAGTTCCAGCTACTCAGGAGGCTGAGGCAGGAGGATAGCCTGAGCCCAGGAGGTCAAGGTTGTGGTTAAGTCACACAGCAAGACCCTGTCTCTACAAAAGCAAAAGCTTTTAAATTAAGAACAAAAATCTTTAAATTTGCATTTCTTTGTGTGTATGTAGGGCAAACAGGCATAAACATCTCATATCTCCACCCTCCAGAGGAAAAGGCTACTACTAGCATTTTCCAAATAAATTTTAGGAGCTTAAGGATAGTTAGAAATTATTTCTTTTTACCGCATATTTTTTGTTAAGTTTACTTAAAAAACTAGAAATTTTAACTTAAAGGCTATCATTACATCAGAGATCAAGTTCCTAGGAATGTATCTAAAAAAATATACTAGAGACCTATAAGGATTAAAACATGAAACTTTATTAAAAATAAGCAATTATTACTCTGAAAATGTCTACTTTCCCCAAACTGATCTGTAGATTCAATGCAATCCCAATACAAATTCCAAAAAGGTTTTTCATAAAACTTGACAATCCTGGAATTTGTATGGAAGAGAAAGGCATTCCTACTGTCCAGCATGTAAGCTCTAAGTACAATTTCCCAATAAAAGGAAGCAGATCTAGGTCAGAAATGTGGGTGATAAAACTCGAATCCTAAGGATATCTGTGCACTTAAAACTAAAAGTTTCTTTATATTATATAATCTGGTGATAAGCACAACAAAAATTATTCTTGGTACATATATTTTAATCAGTTTCTTAATTAGATCTGTCCGATGTCATGTAAATGGCATTTGTTCTTGAAGAATGAATCTTTCCCCAATAAGATCCCTACCTTATAAACCATAATATTTTTAAACAGAAAGAACATTCCCTCTAGAAGCATCAGAAGTATTTAGTAAGCTCAAAGTACATTCTGCTGAAAGAAATATATTTTCAATTCTAATTTCTTAACCCGAAATGTCTGCATAGTTCTAACTTTTTGCTTTTCTTCAACGCATTTTTATAAGGAAGAAACTCTTTAAATAGACTGTTTATAATTAATTCAAAAGCTTTGCAAGTGTACATGTTATAAAACAGCAGGTCTTATTTTCATTCCATTCTGGGACAGAACATAAATTTACCTTATGAACAGAAGCAGAAGTATCTAAATTTCCCCAAAGTTGACATATTCCAGAGCACAATTTGAGAAACTGAAAAATTATCCTCATATAGTTTCAGCTCTCACTGTTAATTTGTCTACCTATTTTCTTGCTGTGTAACATTTCATTCCAATGTTATAAGCTTTTTAATAAGTGCAATTTTCTAAAAGCCTCAAAAGCTCAAATTTTTGCCCCAAAATACATCAGAATTCAATTTGAAGTTATGATCATAAAATAACAATGAAATTAAGATAGAGGGCCCATTAACAGATCTACACATATACAGAACTACGCATATGACAGGTAACACTTTAGATCAACAGGGAAAAGGAAATGGCTATTTAATAATTATGCTAGGACTGTTACTCAAATGGAAAAGACTGACTGTACTCCTATCTCACACCACAAACCCACTGATACCAAATATATTAAGGTCTTAAATATTGAAACTCCCTAACACTTTTAAACATTTAGTAAAGACAAAAAGGGAAAAGATGTTCTCTACTGATGTAACTGATAAAGGTTGAGAATTCCTGCAAATCAATGGAGCACCAATAACCCAATATTTTAAAAGGGCAAAAGAGAAGATAGTATGTACAGCTAATAAGCACACAAGATGTTCAATATCATTAATAATAGAAAAGCACACTATCAAGACCATAATGAAATAATAAATATATATATATATTTTTTTAGCTGGAGTCTCACTCTTTTGCCCAGGCTGGCATCCAGGGGTATGATCATGGATGGCTCACTGCAGCCCTCCTGGGCTCAGGAAATCCTTCCACCTCAGCATCCAGAGTAGCTGGGACTATAGGCGTGCACCACTAAACCGGCTAACTGCTTTATTTTTGTAGACATGAGGTCTTGCTATGTTGCCTAAGCTGGTCTTGAAGTCCTGGGCTCAGGCAATCCTCTCACTTCAGCCTCCCAAAAGTGCTGGAATTGTAGGTGTGAGCCACCACGCATTTCTGGTCAATATCTTACTGGCAATTTTTCAAATGTCTGACAACATGAAATGCTAATAAAAAGCCTAAAATGGCACAACCTCTTTGGAAAAGTTTGGTATTATTTCCTTGAGTTAATCATTTACATGGGCTGTATCCAGTAATTTCTTTTCTAGATTTTATACCTCTATCTAACAGAACCCTAGCAGTATGTACAAAACAAGACAAGTATAAAAGCGTTTTCAGTAGCACTATTCTCGGTAGTAAAAACCTAGCAGCCACCCAAAGGCCATCAGGAGGAAGAGGCAAGTACATGAATAAACTGTATAACTGTCATGAAATGAAATGTTACACAGTAATCAAAGTGAGCAATACCGACCGACATATTTTAGGTAAAACTTAGCAACATAATATTAAAGTCACCAAAGCTTACATGTTTTGATGCTTAAAAACAAAAATACATACTCACTTTGCATACGCACTCAACAAAACTAAGAAGAAATACAAGGGAAGGATGAAGTTGGGATTTAGATGCAGGCTGTTGTCAAGGTCTTAATTTTGTTTTAGGTGGTGGATTTGACTAACAGCTAAATACAAGTGGGCCACGATGAGAACGTGCAATGAACTGAAAAATCACAATTCAATTCTGAGTACCTCAAGTCTGATAAAATGGCTGATTTTTACATTGCTTAGTCATGTAAGAGATAAAACTATACGGCCTCATTCTGTATACTTGAAATCCAACAGTTATTTTCAAGGGAAAAACTTTTAAGAGTACAAATACCAGTTAAACCATGTTAGTAAGGTATTAAATTATAATGTAGAATAAGATCGTATAAAGATATGTTTAATGGATAGCTAAAATACATAGCAGATACAGTTATTACTTAAATATACATTTAAAAAATGCTAATGCATGCATAACAGACTCCAGCAGGTAGTAATAAACAGTCATTGAATGGAAACATTCCTGAATTCCTAAATTCTACCTCAAGTTTTAATTAAATGACCATCTACAAAATTAAAATCATGAAAAACTATTAATATCTAATATCCAACAACAGCATATCAATTACCAGAAAGGTTTTTTGGATTTTTCTGTTTTTCTTTTAATTGATGAAAATTGGTCACAAAAAAGTGAATTTCCTAGAAGTGAAGAAAAGTATGCAAATTACCACACTTTCATCACCTTAGTTAAAATGCTAAAAGTGGGGTAGACTTCCTTGGGGAGTATGAATGCCTATCTAATTATGACTGCCAGGAGGAGTAACGTTTTAATTTTAAAATGTATTATGTGCATGATACTATAACAAATACGCATCTATTAAGTTTGTACTCTGCATAAAACAAAATTCACTATTACTTAAGGTGTAAAGTAACTAAAATTAAGCTAATGAGAATGAGAACTAAACAGAGAAATTTTTGTAAGAACAAGATTCCTGATCCTCTCTTTCCCTGACATACTGCTAAAAACATAATCCTCTGGAGAACAGCTTGGATTTTTGAAACAGCAGCTTACACACTAAATTCATGCATTTGGCTTCTAAGAACTGCATACTTCTAATTTAGTAATATAACACTTGGTTATTCCACATAAAAGCATAAAGCACTGACAACTGGAAGTAACACAAAAGCAACTGATAATCTGAAGAGCAATGACTTCCACAGAAACACAGTGCAAAGGACAAGTTAGAAAAAACTGAACAACAAAAAAAGGAATACAGCAGGCTGGAGAATGTTTGGAAAAGTTACAAAGAGTTTCACACACTTCAACACTGTAATGAAGACGTCATGATAGTTATAGCTAGAAAGAACAGACAACAAACTTAAAGCCTAATTTGATATTCTAAATACAACATATTAACAACTGTTAAAGCCAGACACTGTTCTAAGAACTGGAAATACAGAGGTGAATAAAGCAAAGCAAGTCAGGATTAGCTAGCTAACTATGCCTATTCTTTGATTTCAGGTTTACTAAAAAATTCTGCCACTTTTATTTGAAATGGTTTTTCATAATTAGATTGTAAAACCCTTAAGCTGAAAGTACTTACTCAATGAGAACATATTTTCTTTAAAATTCAATCAGCTTATCAATCACAGGATGAAGAAAAGCAAAGAATTAGGTGTGAAAATAGGAAAAGGGGAAGAGGACACTAAAAGCTCAGAGCTCAGTTCTCTGGTCGGGTGTGGTGGCTCACGCCTGTAATCCAGGCGCTTTGGGAGGCCAAAGCAGAAAAATTGTTTGAGCCAGTCTAATTAACATAGCAAGACCTCATCTCTACAAAAAAATTGTAAAAATTAGCTGGGCATGGTGGCATATACCTGTAGTCCTAGCTACTTGGGAGGTTGAGACAGAAGAATCACCTAATCCCAGGAGATCAAGGCTGTGGTGAGCTGTGATTATGCCACTGCACTCTAGCCTGGATGACTTAAAAAAACATCAAAAAAACAACTCAGCAAAGGTCTTAACATAAGGAACTTAATAGAAGCATGACTGTTAACTATCATGAAAGTTATTAACCATATAGAAGGTAAACGGTATCAAATTTAACGAAAATTCCATCTGGAAGAGTCAACATTTCACAGGTTTTGTTATTAATACAGGCAATTTCAATTATGTAGAATCGCCTTTGTAAAACATCCAGTGCCTTTAGCTAATCACAAAAATATTAGTTAATGCAAAACAAGGTAGCAACCAGGTTTATTAACAATTTGTAAATTAATACTTGCTGTACAATAATACCTTATTTTTGGACTACTGTGCTTGAAGAACTGCAAAAACTTGGGAATCATGATGTTGAGAGGACGATCTAAAACATCGCTATCTAAATCTCAGCAGAATCTTCACATATCTTTTGAAGGGCACCAAAGGCTCCCTGCAAAAGGCAAATTTTAAATGATTAGAATTCATTAAAAATGAAGCCATTTAAGAGTAGATTGAAGAATTATACTAACTTGCATGGATTAATGTTCTCAGACAATGTAAAACGCTGCCTTCTAAAATCCATAAGTTCAATCATTCAATTTTAAAACAAATTATTATACCACCGAGTATCTAAAATCTCAGTTTAAATATAATGGTACATTTTAGCATTAAATGACAAAACTAATTTTGGTTGGCAGGAATTAAACACCAGTTTGTCAAAATTAAATGGTAAAACTCCACATTTACATAGAAGGGTACTTAACCCCTGCAACAACTCTTTTTTTCCTTTTTTTGGGTTGGAGTCTCACTCTGTAGCCCAGGCTGGAGTGCAATGGAACAACTCTTTTTGAAGCACAAAGAAAGGCAATTAATACTATTAAAAAGTTTCTTATACATAAAACCTTCTATTGGGTACTGGTGACTAAATGTGTTACAAGGGCAGGCAATTTAATTGCCAACTATTTTCCTATAGCCATTTTTACACTAAAGGAGACAAACCAGAGTCTTTAAACAAAACGCTAGTTACCTCAACCAACCACCTCACTGCACTTACAATTCCACTGGCAGCAGCTTGATGCTTATTTTCCATAGTAAAGTTAACTTTAAGAGTGTCCAACAGAAGGTAAACTCGTTTAAGGCAATTATTCAATTTTTTTTAGAGTGCATAATACTCTAAAAATAATAAATTTGGAAATTGAAATTTAAAACATATTTTTAAATCAAAGTCTCTCTATCATGCAGGCTGAAGTGCAGTGGCAAGATCATGGCTACCGCAGCCTTGGCCTTCCAAGTAGCTGAGATTACAGGCACATGCCATGCCCAACTAATTTTTTTTATTTGTTAGAGACGAGGTCTCATCATGTTGCCTAAGCTGGTCTTGAACTCCTGGGCTCTGGCAATCTTCTCGCCTCAGCCTCCCAAAGTGCTGGGATTATAGGTATGAGCCATCACATCCAGCCAAAGTTCAAAATTTAAAAAGACAAAATTTCAGTCTTAGATTTAACATGCATTAGATATTAGGAAATTTAATTGCCATCTTATAATAAAAATCAATATAAATTCCAACTAGGAACATTTAGCAATCACTCCATACCAGCATCTTGAAAACACAAATCTTCAATTCAGAAAGATAGGAATTCTATTTAAAGTATGAATTCTATGGAGTAGCTCTACAACTTCACAATTACTACAGCTTAAATTTCTTATTCTTAGATAGTGCTTGCTTAAAGTTTTGATCTTTTATGTTATTACCACCATACCAAAGCTCTGTTTAAATATAATAAACTGTCACACAACGACTAAATATTATTAGATTTTCTGTAATCTTATCAGTATACTTCCAAAGCATTTTTGTGTATATGAGAATGAAGAATTTTTCCTTCCTTTTTAGGAAGGGAGAAAAATGACTTTAAACACTATATTGCTGATTCTCCCTCATCCCATCTTCTCTTCCTGTTTCCCCTTTCCCAAGACAGGCAAAAAACTGCCAGGTGGTAAGGCCGCCTGATTCCTTTTGTTTAGGTTATCCCTGTGCCTGCCCTGCCTTCAAGTCTTGCTCTTTGGGAGAGAGAGGAGTCATTGCTTTAGAGAGTCAAAACATTTCATATGGTTTCCACTTAACAAATAGATTTCTACCCAAATTAAAAGCCTGCTAATAAAAGAGACACAGCAGTAACTAAAAGTGAGAAATTATAAAAGACGCTCATCTCCCCAAATGGAAATGTTGCTAGTGATTTGATCAGTGGCAAAAAAAACAACAATCAGTTAATTTATGATTAAAACTAGACCAATTAGACATATCTAGGTATGTTATACAATAAGAAGCATTAAAAACAATTTAGAGAAGTTAAGTGAGTACTCATGATCTGTCTGGGATTTGGTAAACTTTAGTCTATCTTAAAAAAAAAACACGAACCAATTAAGCTCTGTTTATTCCATACATATATGGACCCAAGGATAACATTAAAATAGAAAAACATAAGATATCTCTCCTTGAAAGAAATATAGCAAAGAGGTCTTACAACAGTCTTTACTGTTAGTAAATAGTATGATAAATGATTCGCAAATGTAAAACACAAAGGTCACTACTTTGGCTTCTAAGCTTTGAAGTTGGATGATTCAGAGGAAATATTATTGCTAAAGGTTGCTAATATACAGCATGACAAAAAAATAATAAAGAACAATTTCTTTACCTCACAAGTGTTGTAATCTTCAGAATCTAACAGGCTACAGAGTTTTGGTAAGAGGTCAGGCCAATTCTGCAATTCTCCCTTGGAGGCTATGGTTGTAATCAAAATACCTTGAAAGAAAACACACATCTTTTAAATGTCTCAAGCCTAAGGGTTCCAAACTGTACAAAAGACTGCAAATTCCTTTTCTCCAGCCATACTAAAAAATAGCTCCACCAATTAACTCCAGTTCTAACCACACAAAAGAGTACAAAGAAAATATACCAAAATGTTCGAAGCACTTATCACTGGATAATAAGCTTATGAGTCTTTCAGACCCAGATAAAAGATACATTAAGAAGCTAAGAATAGTTCCCTGACTTAATCTGGAACCACAGCCAAGGACCACAGCAGGGAAAACTAAAGTAGATGAGCATCACTTGAGAGCAATCCTGCAAGATCATAGTTTACAGCCTCATGGAGGCAGGCTACATACTCCTACAACAGTTCCCTCTTACTGCATAGTCACCAGAAAGGCGATCTTGGAGGCTGAGAGAGACATATTGACTGACTGTTTTGTTCTGACTGACTGGATTATTTCAACTGTGTTGTGTGGCTGAGTTGTGACAGTCAATGGGTTATGCCAACACAAAAACAATAATAACACACAAGTTTTGTGTCCACATTTTTCCCTGCCACAGTAAATATATTATTAGCAATATAATGTAATATACTTAATGATGAAGATTTATTAGTATCAGAAGAGTATAAATGACAGTAGGCAAATTATTTTTATTTGAAGATGCAAAATACTAATCTAAAAATATGAAAAAAGAAAAATTCTTCATAGGGTCATATTGAAAATTCAATGGTATATAGAAAATGCCTGCCATTTAGTAAACACTCAACGATTATTACTGAACAGCAAATAACACTGTATAAATTTTCTACATTAGTTTTGAGAAGGTTGCTCTCAGAGGTAAAGAACTTCAAAAAAATGTAAAAAGCAAAGACACTGGCAAATATTTACTCTCCACTAAAAAACAGAAATTACATAGTAAGGATCAATGTACTGATAACATTTTAAAAACATTAGCCCTTATGATAAAATAGTCTCCAGTAAGACCCAAAAGTAGCAAGACCTGATCCTTCTTGCAATTTATTGTTTCCCAGAATTGAAATAGAAAAGGACTGAGGGGACGAGAAGGACTTGGATCTGCCTAAAGGAAAGCAAGCGTGTATTACATAAGAATGCAAACAAGTAATAATTAAAAATCAAACATAATCTACAAATTGGTGACATTACTTCTGCTAGGAGCCCATTAAAGAATGTTGACAAACTGACAAATCGCAAACTTAGTTTGGACCCAAATCTCATCCACTCCTGAAAAATCACCTAATACCTAGCAGAGTTGCAAAAGGTCTTTCTCAGTATTTACAACAAGCACAGGAATAAAATCAGTGTCTTCGGCAACATGAAAGTCTTAAATACCTAAACAACACACTTTGACCCAATAATGCCATTTATACAAATTAAGTCTACAGAAACTTTCCCACAGATGTATAAACATACATAAAAGAATATTCACTGAAACAGTAAAAATTAAAAACTGTTTTTTTTTTTTTAAGTTGGAGTCTCAGTCTAGCCCAGACAGGAATGCAGTGACACCATCACGGCTCACTGCAGCCTAGCCACCTGGGCTCGGGCGATCCTTCTGCCTCAGCCTCCTGAGAAGCTGGGACTACAGGTGTGTGTGCCATGAACACCCAGCTAATTTTTTTGATTTTTTTGTAGAGAAGGGGTCTTGCCATGTTGCCCAGGCTAGTCCTGAAGTCCTGGGCTCAAGCAATCCTCCTGCCTCAACTTCCCTGGGATTATAGGTGCTACTGTGCCCAGCAGACAAACCGTTTACTCTTTAACAAGAGAAACAATTTTACCTTTATCTAATGAATTACCACAGTCATGAAAATGTGGTCTCTTCCAAATATACTTCCTTGATAAGATTCCCAATATATATTGTTAAGGTTAATTGGTTAATGCCAAAGTTGCAAGTTTACTTTATAATAAAAAATATTTTAATTTTAATTAAAATATTTAAGTACTGTTAAGTATTGTAAGCAAGTATTATATTAAGTGCTAAGAAATACAAAAATAACACATCATCCTTGCTCTTAAGGCGTTCAGTCAGGAATCTCTGACAACATTTGACATGATCTGGAGACAATTTTGGTCATCACAAGGTACATGGCTTCTACTGATACTAAGTGGGTAGAGGCCAGAGATGCTGATTAACATCCTATTATAGTACGCAGACAGGACAGCCCATCCACAAATAATTACCCAGGCCAAAATGTCAAGTGCTAAAGCTGGAAAACCCTGGTCTAGAAGAGCAGATTCTACTTTAACTAAAAGTGTAGAATATATTTATGCTACTATACACTTATCGATTTTCTACGTGACGAAGAATCAGTTTGCAATTCTTAGAGATGACATTTAGAAACCTACAAAATTTAACTTACAAAACATATTCCTAAGAGCGTTTTAAACTTGTCTAAATGTGAACTAAGATTAAGCAATGTAAAAGACCAGGGGAAAAAAAAAACTTCTTCCCAGATTTATTGTTGGAAAGCACTGATGAGTTAGTTTATTTATCTTTTTTTTATGATAAAGATGTGGGGTACAATTCAGGGTTAGGTATACAAACGTTGATTATACAGGTACCCTTGTTGATGAGGTGTGCCCCTCCTTCCCCTAACATTTCCCTCAATCAACTGCCAATCCTACCCCCTCTCCCAGTTTCCCACTACTGCCAATGCCTTTCTTATAGCACTGATGAGTTTAAATCAGCTCATCTATTTTCCTGAAGAAAAAGAAAAAAAACCTCCTGATTTTAAGACATAATGCTTTGGATAAGGCAATATATGTACATACACACACATATGGTACATCATTAAATACTTTAGAATCTTCATGTTGTGCCCCAAATAATTTCTCCCTTCTCGGGGAAGCATCTGTCAATCCTACTTTCCACCACCTTCTCTGATCTTCGCCGAGCGAAGGAGGAGAGGGGAAGAGGGACAAAAGTAAAGGTTCTTATTCTTAACTAACATAAAGCAGGCAGATAATTTAACTGGTCAAGCAGCTTGGATTTGTTTTACCTACTTAACATTACAGACTTTTGAAAACAGAAAGTCCACACATACATAAAAGGAGAGAAATATACTGAACTGAATGTACCCGTGAAGCTATCACAACAGTCACTGACACAGGGTCAATCTTGCTTCATCTATACTTTCACCTACAGCCACCTCCAACACTCCCAATCCTAGAAATCACGTCATTTGGGAATACATTACAGTTCTGTCTGAAGCCACTTCACTTATTTTCAGGAAAGCAAGTAACTAAATAAAAACTTGATTTGTTTCTGTTCTGAAAACTGCAGTGGTTCTCACACTTAGAATACTTAAATATCTACTTCATATACACTAGAATTAAACCAAAGACCTCTCATATTCTAATAGATATCAATAAAAAATGATGCCTATGTATGTCATTTCACTCATTGGTTTTAAAATAAGAAGTCAGAAGATACTTAAGTGCTTAAATAATTTCTGAGATAAACCCAGCTCTCAAATGTTAAAAAAACCTTTAGGAAAAGGAAAAAGAAATCCAGCACTCACTGGGAGATAAAACCAATTCTTCTCCCCCCAACCCTATTATGTTCAGCCTTTCAGACTTACAAGAGGCCAAGCACTGCAGTTTGGACCAAACGGCATTTAAAAATGGGTTTAAGATGGAATACAGTTTACAGACAAATTTCGTATCTGATTTCTACATCCTTTCCTCTCAGCTGAGTTGCCACCTCTCATCTCTTTCTTTCCAAACCCCATTCCACAGTCTTGAATTCAAACAGAAAAGGTTAGCACACACTAGTGTCAGGAGAAAGCCAAGTCTTAAGGTACAGACGGACACATTCGGATCCGAGGGAACTCATGTTTTCTACCCATCAAATGTAAAACCAGTGTTAAAACTGTGACTGTTTGAGAATGTTTGGAGGGAAGTCACAAAGTCTCTGCTTTCTAAGTAAGAGAAAAATTAGGTACTTTTTCAAACCCATGAGACAAAATATCCAAAATGAAGGAACTCCCTAAAGAGAGCATTTGATTTCTTTAACTGGCTTCTATTTAACCAACCGGGTAAATGAACAGAACGTAACATCCTTGTAAAACGTAGTTGCTGAAGCCCACAGCACACCAAAGGCTGCCCATCGGCAGGCTACCCATGACTAACTACAGTGGCCTGTTTTGCTTCTGTGGGTTGGTACTGTGCTTACCCACAGCCGTGTGTGTGTGTGTGTGTGTGTGTGTGTGTGTACTGTGCTTACCCACAGTCGTGTGTGTGTGTGTGTGTGTCCCCAAAATGATTTCTATCAGTTACTATAATTAAGCATCTTAATTCAGTACTACATACACTGACAGGAAGCTGTTTTTTCCCTGAAAAAAAGTTGAACATTCTGAAGACTAAAAAATTGCTGTTGAATTAGATATGCAATCCTATAGATTGTTTTAATAAAACAATCAGTTTTTCTTTACATGTAAAAGTGAAACGAGAAATCACACTCCATGAATTACTCAAAGCAGATAGCTAGTGAAAACTCCCAGCTGCGTACTCAAAGAAAAGGTAGTGACTAAACTAGTATCAACTGTTGATGCCCTATTTTAACCAACTTTGATTAAGCAAAGTTTCAAATGTAAACATCATTTCAAAAGCATTTACATAGCAATGAAAATCTTTCACAATTTAACATGAAATAGCTAACAAAAATCCCTATAAAAATGATGTCATCTCTAAAAAATGATCCAGTTACAAACGAAATAAGTAAAATTGTTACAATATAACTTACCAACAGTAGCTCTAATCAGAGGAGAGGAGTCACCAATATTACTTAAACATTCACTTTTAATAAAGTCTGTTACACCATTTGGAAAGTTCTGAAAATGTGCTTTCACATTATTCTTCAAGATGAGACCACTCAAGGATCTTGTGGGTTCATCTGCAATAAAGTAACAATAGTTTTGAGGTTTAAAGTAGTTATTCCAACATGGCCCAATCACAGTAACTTTAGAAATACTTTTATTTAAAAGGTGATTGTCAAATTCAAATTCATTTTGCTCTAACCAGTTAAAAAAATCATAATTCACTGTCAAAAGATTAGCTCCATTATATATATAGGTCAGGGTTTCTCAATCTTGGCACTATTAACATTTTGACAATAGTTTGACATACTGACAATTCTTTATTGTGGGCGCTGTTTTGTGCACTTTAAGATGTTTACAAATATCATGACAGCAGCACCCTTCCAAGTTGTGATAACAAAAAATGTTTTCAGATAATGCCAAATATCATCTAAGTGGGACAAAGCCATTCTTGGTTGAGAACTGTTGATTTAATTTACAAGTTAATTTAGTTTATATCTGGCCACTGTACTCAAGCTTTATTGTTAACTGACAATCACTATAGATCTGGAAGTATTAGTCACTAATAAGCAGACAAAGAATATATGGGATCACCCTCACATAAATATAATTGCCATTAATTTATATCATATTTTTCACTTGCCTCAGAGCTTAAAAATAAAGCAAATATCTCCAAAAATTTTTAAAAAATAAATTTACTTTAGAAGAAAGTTTAATCCATAGAGGTATTAACAATTTTAAAACAGAGACAGGATCTCACTATGTTGTCCAGGCTGGTCTGAAACTCCTGGTCTCAAAAAATCCTCCTGACTCGACCTTCCCAGGTGCTGGGATTATAAGTGTGTCATCACACTCAGTCAACAAATTTTCAATAAGTAATACTAGTAGAATATAACCGATATTTTACCAGTTGGTATCACCATCAACAATATCAGCAACAGTTAACATCTTCTGCATACACTAAATGCACTCCAAGTAGCACTCCATTTAATCCTTACAACCTCGTGAGACAGGTATTATTCATCCCATTGCACAAGTGAAGAAACTGAGGCCTTTGCCAAAGTCACACCAGGCTGCTAAGAAGGGAGGTCAAAATAGTCACCTCAGTTTGGTTCTAGAGTATACACTTTGAACCATTCTATAGGGTACCCTCCTTCTCAAAGGAGTTACAAGATGGTAACAGCTGGTGTGCTGAACAGAATATGCTATTAAAACACTGCTGTTTTACCTACATTATTAAAAAAATAAAACTCCCCGAGCTTTTTCTAGCTAGTATTATGTTCCCAAAGTCTGACTGGTATTGAAATCTTGAAGGGTAAAACACACCTAGAGGCTAAAGAGCAAAGTTTTTCTGTGCAAAAACCCCATTCAGGTCATTAGAGCAACAGAAAACCTTTGAATATAATCTAAAAACCTCTTTTAATTTTCAAGCATAACCCATTCTAACGAGTAACTTAAAATGAAACAAGACATACCTCCGAATTCTCTTAAAATAAATGAAGTAAAATAAATGCCATGGTTGGGTGCAGTTGCTCATGCCTATAATCCCAACACTTCTGGAGGCTCAGGCGGGAGGACTGCTTGAGCCCAGGAGTTCAAGACCAGCCTGATCAACATAACAAGATCTCGACTCTCAAAAAATAAAAAAATTTAGCCAGGCATGGTAGTGCATGCCTGTGGTCTCAAGCTACTCAGGAAGCCAGGCAGAAGGTTCGTCTGAGCCTAGGAGGTCAAAGCTACAGTGAGCCATGACCTCCTACACTCCAGCCTAGACAACAGAGTAAGAACCCAACTCAAAAAGTAAAATAAAATAGTAAAATAAAATAAATGAAGTCAGATATTTTAAAATAAAATAAATGAAGCCAGATATTTTAACTTCCTCAAACAATAAACTTGTCTTAAGTTAGCTCTTAATAATTCAGCCATGTAGTTATTTTACATGGCACAAATAATCTGTTTTTACAAGAAATACAGTATATTGTGTTTACAATGAAGGAAGATGAAGGCTTCAATAAACCACAAAATGAAACAAAATTAAAAGTATATCTCCTCTTAAAATTCATTTTAAGAAGTCACTAACTAACCATTTCCTTTTTTTAAAAAAAAAATTAAGATTACTTTACTGAGTCCTCAATTTGTTTATTATCTATAACGTGAGGGAATTAGAGCTCTTCCAGATTAAAAATTATACTCCACAATTCAGTGATTACTAAATAAACATGTTCATTTAAAGATGTTACTTTTAGCCAGGCTCGGTGGCTCAGCCTGTAATCCTGCACTTTGGGGGGCTGAGGTGAGTGGACTGCCTGAGCCCACGGGTTCGAGACCCGCCTGGGCAACTTGGTGAGACCTCTACAATAAATCAAAAATATTAGCCGGGCGTGGCAGTACGCGTCTGTAGTTCCAGCTACTTGGAAGGCTGAGGTGGAAGGATTGCCGGAGCCCAGCAGGTTGAGGTTGCAGTGGCAGGGAACGTGCCACTGCACTCCAGTCCGGGCGATGGGCGACGGAGTGAGTCTCCAACTCAAAAAAAAAAAAAAAAGATGCTACCTTTGTTCCTTCTTTAATATAAATTATCACAATGCCAAACTCTTAATCCCCTGGGGAAAATTATCAAATGTAAAACTCCTACTATGTCCTTGGAGAAATTGCCTCATTAGAAGAAATACAGTTTAGGAACAAGAAATTATGAATAAAATACTTTACACCTTTTATGGTTTTATAATTATTAGGTGTTTGTGGAAGCAGTGACTTCCAAACTCTTGCCACTATTTGAATATGTTTTTTAAAAGTACTTCGGAAGAAAAAAAAGTACTTCTGAAGTATCCTTATAGCCCAAGAAACCTGAAATAAAAGAGCATAAAATTGTAAAAACCTTAAGATGTGGAGTATAGGGTGAGGACACGAGAGTAGACAGCTTTTGTGAAAATAAATTTTAAAATTTCAAGTAAAACACAAATTAGAAAAATTCACTAAATATTTTAGTTCTTTAAAAAACAGCAGATAATCAACTATTGTGTCCGAAAAATTTCTTTATTAACAATGTATCATAAATGAATGCCTAGTTTTTCTTTTTTGAGTCAGAATCTTACTCTGTTACCCAGGCTGGAGTGGTGGCATGATTATGGCTCACTGCAACCTTGAACTCCTGGGGCTCAGAATTTCTAGATTCTTAAAATTTAGATTTAGGGATTAAAATTTTCTGTTATGTCCCTCAATCACAAATTAAAATCCCCCCAATTAACTACAAGATCATTTGAAAACAATTCAGAAGAAATTACTGTGTATGAATTCTCAAAAATCTGAATGTAAGATTAACAAGATTTTACTACACATGAAAACCATTAACCTGCTAGAGTTTGGAGCTGAAACCTTACAGATGGTCTGGTTGTCTAACACAGGCATTTTATAGCTGAAAGAATTAAGAGAGGCTAAATGACATAGTACCAAAGGTCTAAAACTTGTTAATTTCCAAGTCCAAGTGCAGTTGTTTTTACTAACTGCACTTAAGTTTCTAAAACACTAATCACTGAATGGGGTACAGTGCTTTCATTTGGAGGCCAGTCAGTTGATCAATAAGTATTTTTAAATGTTGTCTATGTGTCTGCCATGTTTCAGGAAGGGAATATTTAAATAACGCTCACTACATAAGCTCCTTGAGGGCAGAGATTTTTGTTTGTTTTGTTCACTTTTCTCTCTGAAGCCTGCAGATTACCTGGTAAAGAGGTGGTGCTCAATAAATATTCGTGAAATAAAGTCTAGTGGAACACATTATCACGTTATTAGTAACAATCAAATGACCATGTCATAAAAATCAAGCTATTTATGCATTTTAAATTGTCATAAAAATAATTTAAATTTAAAAGAAGAGTTAATAAAAGAGGATAGGAGGACATATTCAAGAGATCAGCAGTAATTATCTCTGGAAGATGGGATAAGTAATTTTTCATTTTGGTTATATGGCCTTTCCATTTTTCCTACGACGAAATACACATATATTCAGTTATTATTAAATCCTATAGTCGATCTGTGTTTTAAAAGAAACCAACCTTTGTTATACTTATGCATAAGCACTGAAGCAAAGCACCAAAATACTTTTGCAACATGTTTTTCATTTGCAAAGAATGAGGGAACTGATTATATAAACACCCATTTAACAACTGCATGTTTATTAAGCACATAAATGCTTAGAGTGGCAGTAACTGCTCATCCCACATCTATAAAGAATAGGGTTACAAAATGAGAAACTCTTTGAAAACGAATAATTCTCACCATACTTAAGTAAATCCTAAAGTTAGTTTTAAATAGTTAACACAAATCCTACTTACCTTCAGATTTTAATTTTGTTAGAACAAAAATCAAATAGTTGTTAAAATCTGGATATTGATTGAGTTGTTCCAGTTTCTAGAACAAACAGTAGTTAAGGAAACTTCTCTGTGTAACCTAAGGAAGAAGGTTAAGCATTTCTTGTCTAAAAAAAAAAAAAAAAAAATCAAGAAACCCTTTTGTGGTTTTTTAATACTTGAATTTTTAACTAAAAATAAGGATATCACATTAAATCTATCAACACACTATTCCAAAACCACACTACTGCCTGTTAAATCTTGTAGGTACTTTACAGCTAAAATTTACCAATTATATTCAATACAACACAAGCCAGTTCTAGCTTCAGCATACCCAACGTAGCAAAACATTTCTATTTTAAAACATGCTAACCAGAAAGGTATTTAAATATGAAATAATCACTTCGGGAGGTCGAGGTGAGATGATTGCCTGAGCCCACGGGTTTGAGAACAGCCTGGGCAGCTTGGCAAGACCTCTCGGCAATACACCCAAAAATTGTTGGGTGCGGCGGTGTGCGCCTGTAGTTCCACCTACTTGGAAGGCTGAGGCGGAAGAATTGCCTGAGCCCAGCAGGTCGAGGTTGTGGTGGCCAGGAGCATGCCACTGTCCTCCAGCCTGGGTGAGAGAATGAAACTTCAACTCAAAAAATAAAATGACACAAATGTTAACATTTTAAAGAAACGGAAAAAAGTCTTTCAGAGTTGAAGATCATTTAGATTACTCATTTAGAGTAATTAACTTTTAAAAATGGCTTAATGAAGTTTTATCCAACTCATATGTTCTTTAGAATCCAAAAAATTAAAATACCATTTAAGCCAAGTCTATATGTCAAATCTTTATATAAAGTCAGCATTACGAGACTACTGCAGTACAACTATGCCTCCCAATTTACTATATAGAAGATTAAAATCTTGTTTTTATTCAACAGACCTAAGTTTCTGATTAAATCCTTGAATCTATCTTGAGATACATTTTATGAGCGATGTATTACATACTTGAATACCCTCAATGTTTAGGGATCAGAATGTAAAGCAAGCAGCAAAATACATTGTCTAGGAAAATTCCAATGTGTAACCACTTTCTCCAACTAAGAAAAACCCCTGACAGTGATTTCTTGTTTTTAGTGAATGCGCAAGATTAACAGCACACCGATATGTCAATGGCTTTTTCATAAATATTTCCTTATAAGGTTTACTTTCTCAAAACTTGAACCATATCTGTTTATACTATTAAAATGGCCTTTCAAAAAGTACTCAAGCCTACACAAAATAACTAAATATATGCTTTGCATAGGAAACACAAAAGAACCAGGTCATCATTAAGTGCTCTGAAAATATAAAGCAGTGCTTTTTTTTTTTTTTTTTTTTAAAGCTAAGATACTGTTTTCCTCTGACGGTAACAAAAATTCTTACTCAGAGAACATACTATGCTCCAGGTACACAGGATAAACTGTAAGTTGACTATCAGCCCAAACACAGTAACGAGCACATAAAAGGTACTTAATACAGACTAAACAAGAAACTGCAATGAAGTCCTGGGCTTGACGAATTCAAGAAACCAGTAACTGTGTGAGACATAACGCCAACAATTAAACGTCAGCTTGTATTATTCCTGGAGCTATGACAACACCAATGAGGACGGCCGAGTTTCAGGCCCAGCCTCCAGCAAACCCGAAGCCACAATTCTAGCAGTATTCAGACAAAATGGCTTTGGAAAGAAGACAGTAGCTCCAAACCATTATCGCCTCCATTTTTAGACGGACGGTTACTACCGAATCGGCCAAGAGGCTGGGTCCGTGTTTTGCCAGCCGCCGCAGGCCCCCTGGCATCGCTGCGGTGCCGTGAAGTAAACGTTCCACGTTAGGTAACCTTGCTGCTTTCTGACAACGAACACCAGGAGGCTTTCCCGCCAGATGAAAGGCAAGAAGGCAGCCTCCAGGGTGAGGAAGGAGCTGCCCGGGCGCAGGGCCGCAGGGCAGGACGCTCGCTCAGCGCCCGGCGGGCGAACGGGCTTCCGTCACGGGCCCGGGGC